AGCGAGTCCTTACACACCTGGTGCCCGGCGCTAGGCATGTGGCGCGGGAGGCGCTCACTGAGGCAGCTCTTGCGGACGCAACAGGCAGCGATCTCCGTCAGCGACCTTGCGTCTCTTACAGCATCTCGATCAACGCAGCTTTTAAAGAATAATTAAGTCGCAGACATCAAAATACCCTCTAGGTTCCGTTCCACACTAGATGTCGAGGAGATGGAGACCGACGGCCATGAACGACAGGTATCGTGCCCAAATACCACGGCCTGAATCATGAGGCTCCCGTTCTAATAGAGGAGCCTTCGTCCACTAATTGAAGATGATAGAAATAACGAGATGGACAGTAGGCGACCGATCAAACCAGCCGCTGCGTCTCGACAGCTTTTCGCACAGGCACAGCCCTGCCAGTAACCTTTCTAGGCGGAAGAGATAGTCATCCAAACCTTACTGGAAGCAAAGATCCATCGACTTGATAAGATCTGTTCCAGGCTGTCTGCATTGGGTGCGCCTTAATCAAATCCTTGCAGTACGCTACTAAGCTGGATTCCAAGATGGAAAAGCTCGCAGCCTCTCGAGAACATACATCCGATTGCAATGACAGACTGACAGTGTACATCTCGGTGGCTTGATCCCTTGCCATACCGACTTTACCATCCATTCGAGAAGAGAATGGTAGGTCGTCGACAAAGCCCTGTGCCGGAGACTACCAGGTATGCGCAGGAGAAGATAGGCCCTACAAATCCTGGCCCCGTGGAGAAACTGTATACATCCTGGAACCCGAATAGATACTTGCTTGGACGTTGCGCCCTCTGGCTCAGACAAATGGATGGTTCGTCGGCTAAGTAGTGCAGTTTCCTTACACACTGAGTCCCCCCGGCCCCGTCAACCAAGCGACCATGGACCACCTATTATACGTTTGATCCGAGGATGACGATAGCAACCGGACAGAGCCCTCGGTGGAGCTGCAACGATTTTCAACCTAATATCTGTAGTGGCTCCTTATGTACATGTATATGCTGAGCGATCCAACGGCGGAGTCCCGGCCTATGCAGCTTGCGGAGAACGCGGTCTGGTTATTAGGTTTCGACTTTGTTTAATACTCGATGCAATGCGATCGCTTGTTCCCGGTTAGACTTCTAGGGCTTTAGGATGTTGCGACGATTTGTCCGTCGGAATGCTCCCTAACTTTCTTCCGGAGTCAGAAGCCGGGCACACAGTTGCGGGAGGAGAGTACTCCCCTCGGAACGAAGCAGCTAAGGGACGATCGGGCCAAGCACCACGAGACTCCCGAACAAGCTCTCGTCGGGACATATCCAGGATTGAAGGCCATGGCTAAAGACCAGTTTGCTCTCACAGGCTTTAATACCAAACGCCAAACCACGAGGATTCGCTCGTTCCAAGCAACCCGGTCGGAATTCTAGGTCTGGCTAGGGCAGCCGGACGTTCAGTCGCACGCTGCTCACGACCAACCAGCAGTTGCCGTTACACTCTTCCTTCGAGATCGCAGTAACATTAGAACGGCATGGTCTGGCGTTAGCTAAGTCTCCCTTCCATTGTACGATTGAAGAGTTCGCTTTTGTAAGTATAATAGACGCCTTCGCCCAGCTAGATCTAAGATGGTTCTTACACTCGTGACTCATTCATGTTGACACTTCTTTGATACCTAGTAGCATTACGTCGATCATGACCTTCTTTGTTTTGTTATCTCTGGCTAGCTTCAGCCGTACAAGAGCGCCAAAGAGACTCAGCCCTTCAGGTGCCCGAACTTGTACGATTAGCCGGATGGAGGCATCTTTAAATGATCGCAACTCCCTAGTCTTGCTCTTCCTGCTAAGAAACATCGAAGGGTTGTAGTAGGCCTGCGTCGTCTCCTGCCCTTCTTCCTCGGACTGAATGCGCGCCGTAGGGACCACTCCGTTTTCATCCTTTGTTCTCTTATGCTTTTCGCGCCGTGTTTACCCAAACACTGCGAAAGTCCCGGATCTTGCTTGCTCTTTCTACGGCTACTTGGATCTCCTGTCCCCCCCCTCTGTCATTACCTTCGGCAATATTAACATTACCACTCTCTTCCTCAGAACACTCCTCCCTGTGCAAGAGCACTACCACCTAGCTGACCACCTCCTGCCGACCAGTGTCCGGCACCCCGCCCGCCACGCCATTCGTACATGCGTCGCTCAGGCTCTTCTTAGCCTCCTGTGGTCTCCTTCCAACAATTGGCGCCTAGCGCTTCGCCTTGTCGACCCATGTCCATTTTCGAGCCATGTCCATTTTGGGACCATGTCCATTTTCGGGCCATGTCCATTTTCGGGCCATCTCTTTTTCGGGCCACGAGAGTTTCGTGAGGGACGATCGGTCGATGATGTCGACTCTGCTTGCGATACTGAGTTGGTCCAAGAAATGTCTCAGGCATGGAACGTAGATGATTGTCTCGTGCGCGGTACATTGTCGTGGCTTGTCGCTGCCGCTCTCCTCGTCGAGAGATTTCGGCTCTCGACTCGCGGAGGAGCGGTCGTCCTTGGATCGACGGGTGTTGTCGTAGCGCGGGGGTGGAGAAGAGTTGATGCAGGGCTAACACTACAAGGGCAATGTAGAGGGCTTGGAAGACGATGACATCGGTGTGAGACTGTTGGAGGCGATCGGATAAGGTAGGTGCGCACCTAGTGCTGCCCGGACGGGTCACGGGCCGGACCCAAAGCTTTACTTTATTCTATCGTCGCTCCTTCCTCGCACTGTCGCACATCTCCCCACCCGACCCGCTTGATACCTACGCCGTCTGTTCAATCGTTTCACTACACGCTTGAGTTAAGTCATGTGCCTTACGGTTATTACCTCTGTTTCCCTATCTCCCGTACTAGGTTCTACCGACGAATTCCCCCGTTCGCAGTTTTTGCAGCCGCCGCTCGGCTGGTCTAACGCACTTGCAGAGACGGGATCATTGCTATGATCAGCTAGAAGCCCCTGTCCGTGGACCATATCGAGGGCCAAGAAGGCAGCACCACAAACAGCGAGACATCACGTTCTAAAACAAAGTACCAGTGGGAAAGCACTTCGCGAAGCGCCATTTCACCTCACAAATATCAGCCTTTCGACAGGTTCACGGACTGCAACTACGGGAAGCGGCATGCTACTAACGATCTTTCTAGGATAACGAAACCCAAGCTTCGGGACATCCCGGAGTGTGATATCTCTAGCCATTTCCCGTCTCCAGTGCAAGTACGCTTGGGGTGGTAACCCGCACAAGCTTCCGTCTCGTTCAAGATGCTACGACGTCGACATTGGTCCCGATGCGTCTACTCTTGCACTTGTCTTGGTCCATTCTGGGGTCAGAAAGACACTCTCGTCACTCATATCTCACAAAGGTTGCAAACAATTGCTAGGCGACTGTTCGAGAGACCCCTCGAAGCCGCTCTTGTAAGGTAGCTACAGACTTGGACATACTTTGCCTGTGGAGATGCTCCGCTTCTCTCCTAGATACTGTCGCGAGCGCGATTCGATCATTCTTTCGCCGTGGAACGGTATCGGTCGAGAGCAGCACTTTCGGGGGGCACCTTGGTCCTTATAGCACCGCGGAGAAGATCCGGGCGCGGCTTAACAGGACCACCAGGCCAGAGTGAGCTACAAGACAGACGAGCGACTCGGAGCGAGTCCAAGCATAGTAGCAATCTTAGCGGCGAGCTTCTGAAGGGGGCGGGCTTCGACTGACGCCCGAAGCTTCAAATACCCGAACACAACGACAGTCTGACCGAAGGTCTCCGTAGAACGAGAAGCGCCATTTCTACACTATGCTGTCGTGCCCGGAGAGCGTAGAGAGGTTGCTATTAGTTATTATGATAGCGATATCCGCCCGGCGAAATACGCTGTAGCCTTACCTTGGTACCGTCGGGCCGGCGCTTCCACGAGGTAACACTGCTTTGGACCAGACACCGCATATTCCGATAACATTCGTGAAATCAAACCACATTGCATATCTCCTGAATTGAAAGTTGGTATTCGCTTCCTCTCAAGACTCCGGGAGTTTGAGGGCTAAATCGCAGCTATCGATGTGCGGAAAAGGAATAAGAAGGGATGGGAGAATTGGATCGGTACTGGAGCTGGGAGCGCAAGTGGAGACTCGTTCGAGGAGCGCCAATGCGAAAAGCAGGTGGTGTGACCGACGAGGATCTGTGGCGATCGTTGTATATTCCATCGCATATGGCCGATTCTCTTCTACTGGTGGGTTCGTCGCTGTGCTATGCGGCTCTCCTCTGCCATTCCCATTTGCGGCGTGATAAGATTGTGTTATTCGTTCTGGGTGTCTCGTCTCTCTCACCTATTCCCTGAGTTCTCACCCTATGCGATCATAACTCTGTCCGTGGTCCAGCTCACACATTGGAACTGCTCCTACCCGCAATACTGTACGCCTCTTCTGGTTAGTGCGGCGGTGCCAATTTTTCGGCTTAAGCGTAGCGCAATCGAGGTATCCGCTTTCCTCATTCCATATCTTCCGTAACACCTTATCTTGGGATTGTCGTTTCATCTTGTACGAGAAGGTGGTAGGCAGGCATGCTAGCAATGCTGTATCCGGCTTAGTGGATGTCGGAGTGGATGGAATCATGACATTGCTTCGTGGGAAATTGCGACGGCGTGAGAGCGTGGCAACGGCGGTTGGCGAGCTGTCGAGGCATGGGCGTATCTTTAGAGGGTATGACTGGTATAGTTGTGAGAAGGGGGAAGCGGTGTTGTTCGGACACGGTGTCCTCCTGAAGACGCTTCACACTTGTGCGTCGCGCGTGAGAGATGCTTCGGGTGGGCGCATCAATATCGGGGGGAAATTCCATTGAAAATTGATGTGCGGAGATCGAGATGCGGCTCCAGCGGAACGCTACGGCCCGACGGCTGGGGCAACGCTAGCGCCAGAGGGCGCTGTCAGCAACACAGCCCCGCATAACATAACACAACATCAACCTCCAACACTTACCACACTTCAAGACTCGCTTTTCTTATCATTCCCGTCGCATGCGCCAGTGATGTGGCCTACGAGCGCCATCGAGATCTGGATCCATCAAGTCGAATACTTCGCTGCACAGGCCTCTCCCTCTTCGCCTCCGACACCTCCGCTGCCGCCGCATTGCGCACTGCCGCCTACACCGCCGCCCGATCACGACAGCCATTGCCGCAAGAGAAAGGTGGAGACGGACAAGAGCGAGCCTCAAATTGCGACATATCATAAGCGAGCGAGGATGGCGGAGCGGCGCGCGGATGATCCAGACGTCGACGATGGGGTCTTCACAGAGGCGGGCGCTGAAACGTCGAACACACCACGCGCGTCCTTACAGCGGCAATATCCGCTCCAACTCACACATGCAATGGGCGATAACCTGCGGAGTCCTGAGGTATCGCCTACTCGCCGGTCTCAAGCAACCACGCGCGACGCTTCCTCCCACGCTTCCTCGAATGCCTCATCTCGCGCCGAGTCTTCCTCTCAGACATCCTCCTCCCGCCGTGTGAAGCGAAAACTTAGCCCGAGTGCAACGGCTTCTGCCCGAACGACGAGTCCTTCCAAGAAGATCGTGGACCGAGAGCACGCGCAGAATCCTCTCCGATCTGGACATATATCCAACGTGGACGAGCTACCCCTAGAGTTGCGGGAATTGGTTGCTCAGATGGGCATGATTGCAGACGGGGAGAATATCCTCTCGGGTGCCTTGAGGGAGAATTTGCGGAAAGATGTGTCCACCGGCATGCCGTGGAAGGATGCCCGCGTATTCGCCGATGGGGAGGAAAGGGAGAAGAGAGATGCGTTGGGGACTGCGCCGGATCTGGAAGATATCAAGGAGATCGTCGACGATGCACGCCGTATGCATCCTGCATGCTCGGAGGCAGATTGGAATTGCCACGTCCATCATCCCTTGATGAAGTTGGCTCTAAAGAATTCGCCGCACAGGGGACAGCTGCAAACCCACAACATGCACGTAAACCACCCCTCCACTCTCCTTCTCAGCTAACCGTGTCCAGAACAACCGCGGCCGTCCTCCCTCACCTGCTCCAGAAGCAACCTCTGAACGACATCGATAAGCTCGAGTCCAAAAAGGTCGACTTCTGCCTCGCACTGGAATTGCCAGACGTCGACAGGACCGTACAGCTCCTCCATAAACAAAATCTCTACCCTTTCAACCCGACCGACTACGGCGGCATCCGCGACAAGCCCATCGCCATCAGCATCGAAACCAAACCTTCGGAGGGCAACTTGGTCGAGGCGGAAAATCAACTCCACGTCTGGTGTCAGGCGCATTTCGCTTTTCTACGCCATGCGGCCTTGCGTGCTGCGGGGACTGCGGAGCGTAACAACGACAACATCTCTCTGCCTTGTCTTCCTGTTCTCCTCGTCAAGGGACATGATTGGTATTGTCATTTCATCGAATATCGGAACCCCACGGAGGATCAGCCGGCTTCTACTGTACGTTCTCTTCCTCTCTTTCCATCTCTCCGTCTTCAAGCTGACGACCCATGCAGTTCTTCTGGCGTATGCCCGTCTCCTTCGGTGGCACGACGGATGCCCTGCGTACGTATCAGGTCATTGCGGGCATGCAGGTTTTGATCTACTGGGCGGACGTGAGGTTAAGGTCTTGGTTGAGGGAGATGGTTTTTGAACCGTTGGAGAGGATGAGCGGGTGAAAGATCTTTCTTTTGATGAATACACGAAGAGTTTGGTAGTCATTTCATTAATTTCTTCGAGACTTCAACTCGCTGCTGTGTCCTCTGCTCTTGATTTCGTCCGTGACATTTCTGTGCTGCTGTATCGCCGTGAAGACATCCAGCCGCCGATCACATCTTAAGGATGTATCCTTATAGTATAAAGTCATCTAGGTTTGGTCTGTCTACTCTACGGTGTAGCGATATCGGTCGAATTCCTATTCGATCCGCATGATGTATCTCGAGATCCGAAGCCAGATGAAGTATTCTATACTTAGTTTCACTTTCTCCTTGTTCCTTCGGAGCGCTGCTAATAGTACTCGGTATCCCCCGGTGATACCCGGTAACCAGGTCTAGTAGACCGACTGGTTACCCGTCCTACCTAGTACTAACTAGTAGGTAGCCTAGTACCTGGTATTACTAGCTAGGTACCTAGTAATACGGGTTAGGTAATTAGAATATATATTCGAACTAATAAAGATATCTACTCTAGGTTAAAGGAATCGTTCTAGACGATTTTACGAGGTCCTAGTTAGCTAGAAGTTGACTTCCGAAGATGGATCTAGAAATCTTGGATCTGCATTCCGCCTTTTAATACTGATTGAGCTGCCTTAGTCGAAAGCTCGTAGACTCTCTACATGCAGCCAGTGTACAGCACTCCTTGAAAGTCTGAAACTGCTCGAGTCAACTGGAGGATGCCACGTTGTGAGCGACGGATAGAGCTACTTTCGTCGTGCGTGCGCTCGTCGGCGGTTGCACGAATCATTGCAACTGCTGCTGAAGCGATCAAGTGGAGAAATCATGCGCTGGGGATGATAGGTATTGTCTTAATAGGGATCTGATGTCCGGGCGTATTAGAAACATCCAGAATAGCCGTAGTAGGAGGAGATCGAGCTACTAGAAGAGCTGTGTCCGCGCCGTCGATGCTTTCCACGTTGCGTGTCTTGGGATGGTATACCTCGCAAGTTGCACGGAGACCATATTAGAGAAGAGCGTACGGATCTCGTGACCGACGGCACAATGAAAAACCGTGGTTACGAACATTCTGCTCAGAACTGGGGCGACGGGGAAGGGGCGTGGAAGCTGTATCCACGAGCTACATCGAGATCTGACTTTTCCCGGCAAGAGTTGCCGGGGTCGAGGACGCGTGTAGCAATGAGAATGCCTTCGCTGTGGAGAGCTACTTTCTCGCAGTGGTACCTTGGCGTTCCTGATCGGTTGCCGCCTTAGAGTGGAGCGCTTTCGGCTGTCGTTGCTCTAGTTGACTCTTTCTCGACGGCTTGCCACTTTTGGGGTCCAGGTTGTCCCGATACTTGTACCGTTCCTTCTGGGAGGCGAAAGACAGGTAGCAATCGAAGTATTTGCGAGCCATGCCCGTGGAGCTGTATGGAATTTGAGCGGCTCCCGGTAGTATCCGACTAAATTCGCCGTAGACGCTTCGGGGGACACCCGCGCTGGCTTCGATGGACCTCGCTCCATGAAGTAGTTTGCGATATCTTGGTAGGCATTGACCGCTAGGCTCTCCTCCTACCCAGCGTCATAACCGATTAGGCCGAGAAAGAGGTGATGGGCGTGCTCTGGGGAAAGTGAGCGATCTGAGCGCGGTGAGGGAGAGCGGGGCCTTACGCCTTCCGATCGATAATGGTCGTAATGAAGCTGGCGCGTAGCATGGGCGCGATAATCGCGATCCTCTCTACGCTGGCGGCGAGTCGGTTGCGAGTGTCCTCCTGTCGTCTTCGCTCCTTGCCCTTGCCGGGGCGTGAGTCTCTGGTCCTGAATGACCGGAATCGCGGCGATCGTCTGTATGGCTGTCCGTGCTGTTTATAGGCAATCCCGCCTGGCGCAGGCGGCGATGACGGTCGTGCCTGAGACGTTTCCGGGTGTAGCTGTCCTCCACGGCACTCGCTCTCTCACTCGCTTCCCGAGCGGCTCAGCTAACCTCGCCAACCATGAAGTCGAGGGCTGCTTCGTCGATCCGCACTACTGTGCGCTGGGCACGTCGGCGGCGTGGAGTCAGACAGCTCTTGCAGTCGAGGATTGACAATTCGTGCAGTAGACCTCTTTTTGCGATTCGATGGATGTTCAGTTCCAGGAGCAGAGAAATATAGGCGTTCCAGATGGCGCAGTACTTCTATCTCCCGTCGTCGTCGAGCTGAGAGAAGTAGTGTTGTGTAGGGTGGTCTCTGTTACAGAGCTTCAGCTCGACGCCATCTCTTCCCCGAGCCGACTGCTGCCTGTACCAACAGATCCGGGCACACTGACAGTGATCTCGGCCATGTTAACTGTCAGGGGCAGGCCCGGCAGCCAAATTACCTCCAAAAGTGTTGTTCAACATATAGATATGCCTTCGTCCTGCTCGTATTGGCAATAATATGCCGTGATTCCGTACTTCAAAGCTCTATTCCATGGAACCAATCCAGGGCCCGCTCAAGATGTGCTCAAGTCTCCTGAAAAGTTCTTGCCGTGGCAAATGAAGCTGTTCCTAATTAATTCGAATTTCACTCTTATCTGTTAGCAGATTGCATCCGTAATAGTAGCAAAGCAAAGACCGAGCCAGGTCCCGCTGTTGCTCGTAGTCTTATCAACTCGAGAATCCTCTGCGTACCACCTTAACCCTCGCAAGTAAGCCAAGATGCTCTGGTCGTATCGTGTCCTCGAATGCCCTCTCCTGAAATATCTAATGCGAGCGCAGCGGGCTCAACACCTTGTGACCTTTCGCTAGTGTCATCCCCGCTGCTCTGAGGTTCAGCGAAAGGTGGCGTCAAAGCTTGCCAAAAAAAAAAACCAGCAATGAACCTTACGGCCGCGGAATCCGAAAGAGCGAGATAATTCTGACGGCGGAGTACCTGGGAGCCAGCCACAGTAACAAGATAATGCTAAGGAGCACAAGAACGGGAGAACGCAGCGCGTTGGTCTCTTTGAGTTTTGCTCCCGAGCAATCCAGTCATTGCGTCCGCAGTATGTAGCATCTCGCTAGATAAGCAGCTAATGGCAGGGGTACAATGCTGTTGAAAGTCAGGCCTGCAGAGGAAAGAGTCGGGATGTTACCCAAGTTGTTACTTCCTCGTGTAGCGAATATACGAGGAGACCATCTTCGACGGCGGAGGAATTTCTTCTTGGTTTACGTTGATCGAGTGTGGGTTCGACGGACTTAGTAGTAATGGATTGGAAGATGGTCTCTTGCACTTGTTCTCTGCGATAGAGCTTCGACAAGCCGTGTCGTGCGAGAGACCCCATCCTCTTGAATGATAGACCGAGCGGGAATAAATTGACTGTTTCCTTCGCCAGGGAAAGCCCGTTCCTACGGTAGGTTGGTCTCGCATCCCTGCATGGAGCTTCCACGATGCAAGACCCAGAGAATCTGAGAATGATTGAGTGTGTACTTCAGATTGCCCTTTACGTGGCAGATCACTCGAGAGCATCCTTTCTCTTTGTGTGATAAGTCTGGCGGCACTTTCTATGTCTCTCTCGTCGGCGGCGGAGGATCTTCATTGCGGCAAGGTAATATTTGGTTTGGGCGTAGAGCTGTATCGCCGTAGATAGAAGGCAAATAGTCCCTGTCCTGAGCTTGCGCGACCGAGTCGTTCGAGCTTCGCAGGTTCCGAGGATGAATCTAGCGTCCTTTCCCGATTCCCCTCCTTCTTCTTCGTTAGTAGAGAGCTGTCCTACGGCAAAGCTGTCTTGCATCCTCTCTCAGAGTAGTGATCTTCTCGTGTAATGCGCCGTGAGCCCGCGGCACAGGCTGGCGAAGGAGACCCGTCTTCGACCTGCTTGAGCCAGCCACGCTGTGTCCAAGAGGAAGCTCTTGGTTTCTTGGGTCTTGTAGCTATCAAGTCGCTGGCGTGAAAGCGTTGAGCAATAAGACCTTGAAAGCCTCATTGTACGGCTCAGGAGGAGGAGAGAGGCGAAGCATTGTAACGAAGGAGGTGAAGTCGGAACAACCTTCGCGCCGTTCCGACGCAACTCCGCACAACATCGTCCAGATCGTCACCCGACCTTTTCCGAGCGTGGTCTGATTGGTGGAGAATTCCGCTACTGGCTTTGTCATTGTCAATTTGTCATTCTGTGGTCGAGACAGCTGGAATTTCTTTGCGTGTTCCACGACGTGTGCAGCAGTAGCAAACTTCCGTTCTGATTGCTCACCTCACGATGTTGTTGTCTTCTGTCTTCTACACCGCCTCGAGATGGGACCGTAGTTCCTCATGACTGCACATCGGCAGGGCAACACTTCACAGGCAAGAAGAAGGAGAAGAAGGAGGAGATCGGGACGAGAGAGGAAAAGAGACACGGCTGCTCGACGAACATACAATTACATTGCTCAATGTCATGCTAGAATACGGACAGGGCGGCACCTCTCGAGGCGACCAAGACGACGATGTCGAACACGCCATACACATACTCTCATCTCAGCAGACAGCCTCGGTCGATGCGACAGCGAGGAACCCAAGACGCCTTTTTTGCTTCCGCAGTCGATTTGCTCGATATTTCCCAACACCATTGACGCCTACGCTAGTTTGTGATCGTCATGAAGGCTGCAGCAGTCAGTCAGCGCGAAGGATTCGACATGGCAAATGGGGAGACGGGGACTCACTCAACCATCCTTCGATGCAGCAAGAGCAGAAGTATCAACCACTGTGACTAATCACGGGGATCACTTCTTCGATCTCCTGGGTGCTGTCATCGCATCATCAGTACAAGCGGCAGAAGCTCGGAAGTTGAGAACACATACCAGCGAAGACACACGAGGGGCTTGTCTTGGGATTCCGTCCACCGGTAGTAGGTATCGAAGCAATTCAGGTGCATCTCATGCTCGCATGGACACAGTAGCTTTAGCTGCTGGCCCGGCAAGATGTCGTCCAGACACACATTGCATCTCTCGAGCACGTCCGGAGCGTGGGTGGTGACAGCTTGGACAGCATTGGCGGCATCTCCAGCGGCGGCATCTCCAGCGGCGGCATCTCCAGCGGCATGTCCAGCAGGAACGTGTCCAGCAGTGGCATCTCCAGCGACATGTCCAGCAGGAACGTGTCCAGCAGTGGCGTTTCCAGCAGCGATGGCTGCACTACTTCCTGGCTCAAGGTCCAGACAGAGGCCGTCCATAAGCAGGCGCTTCACAAGCTGATGCCCCTGCACAGGGCATTGCTGACCGCGGAAGACACAAATCAGACAGAGCTTGAGATCGCCGCGGTCGCAGCTCGGGCAGGAGTAGTGCTCGTTGAGGATGTACTCCATGCAGCCGTTGCAGACACGATTGAGAGACTGCAAAGCAGCGTTGCGCTGGGCATCGCTGGTGTACGCTGGACCTGCTGGACGAGTGACCACGATCTCATCATCAATGTCCTGCTCCTGTTCCTCGTGGCTGACCGTTTGCGCTGGATAAGTGACCACAGTGTTCTCCTCTTCAGAATCTCCGACATCGCGGTCTCCGAGGCGAGCGCGGCGTGCTGGATGAGCCACGACGATGTTGTCGTCGCTGTCTTCCTGCTGGAAGTGGCCGGCAGCAGTGGTGGTGCGCTTACGATTGCCGGCGATCGCCTGGGTGGAGGTTGCGGTGGATCGCGCCGCGGCTGTAGCGCTGCGGAGGACGCGCCCATGCTTGATCTGCGGCATGGCGTCGGCGTCGGTGTCGTTCTTGAGCGGCGTGAGGGTATTAACGATAGGGAGGATGGCACCTGATGATGATGGTGACCGCGTCGTGGGTGTGAAAGCAGAAGATGACGGAGATGGAGAGGGCTCGTCGCGTTTGTTCAGCGCGACGCGGACCTCCGACGCCCCCTGCTCGGCGGGAACAGCCGCTGAGCGGAGGCCGAGACAGCGGAGGGCGGAAGCGGAGTGTAGCGGAGCATTGCGATGGAGATGCTGAAAGATGTTGTGAAAAGAGATAGAGAAGAACAGCCAGACGACAACAGAGGAAGCAGAGCACGAGTAATACGTCGCATGGGACCACTCGCCCATTGGCGAAGCGAGAGCGCCCGTGATTGGCTGGCGAAGCGACGCCGGTGAGAGCCGGTCATCCGCCGTCTGGCATCGTCTCAGGGCTGCTTGGCGAGACACATTTTCTTTCACGAAACACTCCATCCTTACTTGGGAAGCGGAGCAATACACGTCGTCTTGAGTGCAGAGGTGCTACGCGCAGTATAGTTCATGTTCAGTGAGCTCACCATTGAATTGCTTTCTAATGGGTCGGAAGCCCAGTTGGTGAGAAGTGCCGTCATGTGATTCTAGCCTTAGGCATCAACGTTCCTCACCCCCGTGTCGCGCAGACTGCTTCGCAACGACTTTGTGCTGGGAGTGCGATAGTGTACCTTGAAGCGTTCCTAATACATTTGCATGATCTGCCCATCTTGCGTGCTTGAATTTGCGCGGCTGCAGATTGGTATGCGATAGTATGCCTCCTGGGAAGCGTTCCAGCTCACCGTTCCAGCTCACCATCGAGACGCGGGCACACGTGATCGGAACCTCCCGCGGAGCTAGAGTTTCAAAGCTTTCAATTGCTTCGACCTCGGCAAGACTCGGGACGTTCCTTTACACCATACCACCGCCGCCAACACAGACACACCGCCGCCAACCAAACCCAACACTCTTTCCACATCGACAGATTTCACATCGACGGACTTCACATCGACAGCTAATTGCCACGATCTCGTCACCACAGCGCCACGACCGGTCCAAAGACGTTCGCTCCTCCGCTCCTCCGCTCCTCTGCCGCTTCAGCCGGGCCAACAGCCCACGTCTACGCCCACGCCCACGTCTATGCCCGCGTCCACGCTCGAGCAGATTCAAGGAAAGCAAGAAATTGGTACAGACCGCCGCGGAGGCTCAAGAGACTCGCCTTCGGGTGTCAGAATACCACACACGCATGCGGCATGAAGGCGCAGTACATGCGAATGGCGCATGTACAAGCTCGGCAACAAGTCCTGGGATTTTCAACGGATGCCATCACAAGCCGCCGCGGATGCTGAAGAGGCTGGCCTCAGCGTACTAGGCTTACTTCGAGCGCATGAGAGCGTAGCAGATGGTACAGGCGCAGGCACAAGATCGGGGTCAGGTCCTCGGATGGGCGCGGGAAACAACGCAACGCCGCGGAGGCTCAAAAGGCTGGTGAGACTGGCATTACCTTACCGGAATCCGGGCACATGAAGGCGCAGTACATTGGACAGGCACAGGCACGTGCTTGAGAGCATGTCTTTAGACGAGGGCAACAAGAAATCGCCGTGGGAGCTCGAAACGCTGGCCGCGCTGGCTCTGTATACCGGAACCGGGAAGACATCGAACGCATGAAGGCGCAGTACATGAAATGATGCAGGCAATAGCTCGGCAACGTTCTCTCGGCCTCTCGCTCAGGAGTTTTTGAGAAATGCACCAACAATTCGTCGCGGAGGCTCCACGGCCGGCTCTGGAAGGGAGAGAGCACGAGAACATCCATAGCTGGCACAGCTGATGTGCGGGAACCAGTCACGTGCGCAGCTGTGGCGTTATCTCAGTCGAGCAGTCCACAGTCCAGCGCCAGAAGCAGCATCCAGCAGCAGAAGAACGCCAAACTTCTGGAGACAATCCATGACCTGGCGCAGGCGAGAGCCCGCGGCCCACCCTTTACTAAGCTGAGCTACGAGACGTGAAACTTCAAGCGATAGAGGCCGACCTTTTATTCAAGGAGGATGGATGCAGCTCACTCCAGCAGACTGAGGCCATTCACCACTCAACTGAGGCGAGCCCCTCGCTGTCTCAGAGTATCAGAATACGTCAAACGGACGAAGGTGCAGTACATCAGATGCGGCAGGCACTTGCACATCAACAGGAACAACAACAAGCACAAGCTCAGCAACATGACCGCACCCCGGCCAGCCTCCTTCTTCCCTATTAGCGCCCACGAGACTTCTCTCGCGAGTGAACTGTAAGGTCAGGAATGAGATGCATACCACTTTGACAACATTCGCAGGACAAACTGTTGCGGACGGCAGTGGATACACAACGTGCGAGGACATCTCTCGATCCGAGAGCGACTTTCTCATCGCTGGGAGCGGACTCCTTGGCATATCACCTCGCGTTGCCTGAGGTGAGCTTTCCGCCAGCGAATTTGGATAGACGATGCGGACAGTTTGTGCGATACCCGGTGTACGATGTGGCTTTTGTCAAACACACCAGTCGAGCCACTTCCTAATCTCCAGTACATCTGGCTTCAGCATGTACTTCTCAATATCACACGATTGTCTGCATCTCTTCGCCAGTTGCCATCATTCTCCTTCTGTCAGCCTGCTTATGAAGATTATCATTGTCTTTCGCCCGCCGCTATTCTGTACTCGGCACCCAATATGCGAGCACCCTGGCAGTTGCTCTGAAAGCCACTGGTAATGGTTTGCTTACAGCCACTTCACTCTCCGGGGCTTCCACTACTTCTTCCAATCTCTTACAGTCTTAGAGTGATACAAATGCAACGCCTCCCACTCGCTCATCCTTTCGATCGCTGGAGTGGAGCCAGGTTCAGTATGCTGGATCCAGCTGGAAACTTTCATAATTCGTCCAAAATTTAACATGCATTCCACGAGGATATTGGTGCTGTACCGAAGGAGGCGTACTCGACTGGGTTTTTTTGGACACACTATTAATAGCTGTGTATAGATAAAATGTAGCAGTTGTCCTATAGCTTAGATGCCTTCCTATCTTGGAGGTAGTACTAAGCTAACCGTATATACTAACCGCCCGACTTATACGCCGGTAAAGAAAGAGGCCTAATGTCCTTACCGGAGTACTAATCGTTTATCGATATACGTAGACGTTACTAATAGTATAGGTATACCTAGGTAGTATAGGGTTAGGTTAGGTAATTCTTAGCGACTAGGTAAACTAGGTATAGGTCTAGTAGAAACCTAGGCTACCGATACTAACTAGTACTAACAGGTAGTGAAAAAGCTAGTAAAGCTTAGTAGGTACCTCGAAAAATGCTTAAGGTACCTATAATATATACTACAAGTTCTAAAGGTATCTTACGTAAAGAGCGTAGGGTCTACGCTTTAAGTAACGTATATATGTTATCGGTAAATGTTATCGGTATATATAAAGTTATGTTCCTAGTTTCTATCTCTATACTATCTATCGTCTACGTTTTTTAATAACACTATCTATTATTTTGACGCCCCTACTGTCCTAACTACTCGAACCGGCCTAGGGCTACGTAGAAGCTAAAGATCTAGTAGTAACTAGTTGTAACTTAGTAGGTCTCTTCTACGAGGAAGTTTAGTCTTAAATTTAATGTCTAGGTAACGAGCGTACTTTACTCGTCCGATTGTCGGATACCGAGGATCGACCCTCTATCGAAGAAGCCTTCTTAGAACTAGGAGCCGGAGATTTACGTAACCTAGAACGTTAAAGCTAGGCATCGTCTTTAGCGGGAGATCTTAGCCTTTTAGGGTCGTGTTCGGCCTACGGTAGTATAGCCGAAGGCGATAGAGCCGGCGGTTCTATGTCTTCGAACTCCGTTAAATTATCGCGGCTCGAAATTTTAAAAGGATTACCCGCTATCTACTACGGAGTAGCCGATAAGCGGCTTCGACGTCGGGACGCTTAAGTCTCCGATAGCTAATCGATCTATATACCTAGTTAAGCTCGTATCGTAGGTACTAGCTACGGTCGATAGGTACTAGGTCCTATAGTAGATTTCTTCCTTCTCTTTAACTAGAGTATCTAAGACTCGTCTTCCGGAGTTAAATCTGTCTCCGGCGAGGGTAATACTATATTACGGTTCCTTTTCCCGATAAGCGTCGAATCGCGACGATCGGTACCGGTACCGACGTGCCCCTTTAAGGAGCGATAACGTTTCTAGGTAGTAGTCTCCTCCTCCTCTTTATCGCTAATTACGATTATGTTTTCCTAATTCTCTATACAGTCTAGCTCCGTATAAATGTCGTTATAAATTTAACTATTTAGGCCGCGGGAAGACGGTTCCGAGTTTAGGGTTCGGAGATATCTCTCCGTAGATCCCGATTCTATAAACTCGAAGGGAGCTTCTATAGGTACTAGGAGATCCTCGGCTTATACTTTAGCTTAAATAGATAGAGAACGTAGGTTAAGACGATTATCGCGCGACAGTGTTCTACTCTTCGTAACTATAATGTTACTAAACGTCTCTAGCCTATATTACCGATTGTAGGGTAACGAGTAACGCGCTATACTAAAGTTACGTTCGTATCCTAAGCCCGTAGCTAGGATATAGAGTATGTCGCGGGCTACCTACGTAACCGAGGGAAACTAAGTATAGATATCTTTCTAGATATAGAGCGCCTCTTTGTCGCCGAGTAAAGTGAAATCTAGGGACCGAATTAGTATAAAGACGACGGTAGTAAAGAGGCGACAGGGGCCTACGTAGGTAAGGCTCGCCGATAATATCGGCCGATAACATCGGCCGATAACATTAGAGAGACCTTACGAGCGACACTAAAGCCGAAGGAACACTAGATCCTATCGAGTATATACCGATAACATAAGCTAATAGCTCGTAGAAGACTACGTACCTACGTCGAAGTATCGTTAAAGTTTATCTCGATCCGTACCTACTATTACGTCGTTTGTAAGATAATTGCTTCCGGTATAGCCTAGAGCTAAGCGTATAGATTTCGAAACCTTACTAATATAGGTAGGAGTCGTAAAGGAGCTGTCTATAGGCTTGTAGCGGCTCTCCTAAAGCGTACGTAGCTTCTACTAATACTCGTACTTATAACCCTTATTACGAAAGTACTCTCGTTCCTATATTAAATTCTTTGCCGCTAGGTAAAGCAAAATCGCTATACCGTAAAGATCGCCGAATGCGGAGAAAGTCTAGGAGTAGTAGTACTTTAGTGTTTGTCGCGTAGCCGTAAGCGCTTTCGCTAGTAGAGACTTCTAGCTCTTCGATTTTCTCTCGAGTTTAAGTAAGGCGGCGTCGATCGTGTCGAAGAGAGTCTCGTAATAGCCGATTACTA